GGGGGAGGGAGTCACATGGTTAATTCTGTGACTGCGGTACCAAATATTTACTGGAAAAATGGTAACACCTTTGCCAGTCTGCTTTTTCCTTTAATTTAAGGGCTGCCATTTCTTAAAATAGCATCCCTAAACCTCTTAAGGATAGAGAATTGTATTACAGAACTGAGAAGATTAGGGTTAAGGAGAAGAACCAGCCCCAGATTTGTGAACAGGGCCTGAGGAGTTCTCTTTATATGTCCCCAGCTCCTACTGTTGTTGCAACCTCTTCAAGGATGGTAGAAATGGCTGCGTTCGACACCCATGCCCTATTGCCAACGCCCTTTGCCACAAACTTGCAAAGCCTTTGCTTCTAGCCCAGTGTAAAGTGTTGCTTATTCTGTGTAGCTGCGAAGTAACTGTCTACAGGGCAGGAGGCTAACTTAGGCCCAGGAGTGAGCTGGGAGGAACAGGAAGTGAAGGGTTGGGTAAGATGGGCAGATTTTCTTTTAAGAGTGAACAAGCATAACCAACGGGGAAGTGACACACCCACCCGGCAATTTGTCTCGTTGACCTGCATCTGTGTCTGCTCTCCTCCCTCTAACCTTCAGCCAGCATCCTCTACCTGGAGGGCGCAGAGTTATCTGTTCTGCAGCTGAACACCAATGAGCGTTTATGTGTCAAGTTTGAGTTTCTCTCCAAACTGCAGCATCATCACCAGCGGGTAAGAATCCAGCTCCTGCGTGGACTGTGTTCCTCTGATGACCATGGGGAGTAGAACGTGTTTTTGAAAACTTCCCAGATGTGCCTCCCCCCACTTTTCCTTCCAGCCTTCCCTAGCTAGTCACTGAATAGGGAGAGCCTTCCCAGCCCTGCCTCCTGCCATCTTTACTTGTAACTGACATTAGTGTGGGCCCTGCCTCCAGAAAGGAATGACTGCCCAGACCAAAGAACCAAAGTGGGTGGGGCACATGTAAATGAGTTCTTCAGCAATTTCTGCTCATTTTGCTACTAATAGCCAGGTAGTAAATTGTTGACTCTAGTTTGTTTAAAGCCATGGTTCTCAAAGTGTTGTCCCAGGAACACCCCATCAGCATGACCTGGGAGCTTGTTAGAAATGCAGATTCTAGGGCCCCACCCCAGACCTGCTGAGTCAGAAATTGGGGTGGGGCCCAGCAATCCTTTAACAAGCCCATCAGGTAGTTCTGATGCAAGCTCCAGTTAGAAAACTGCTAGTTTAAATCTGCAAAAAGTGACCATTTGCAGAGCTCCCACAGATACAGGAAGCAAAGACAGATTCCCCTCCCCCATGTTTAATTAGGGCCCCCCCAAAAAAACTTGACTGCTAGGTGGGTGGTGAGAACCAGGTGCCTGGATACTTAGAAGCAAAGAACCCCAGCCTCATCGAGCAAGGTAGTTCAAATAGGACCTGGAGTCAGTACCTATTTTCCGCACTGTCCAGAAAATACCTCCACACACATTCTGTCATGTCTGCAGGCCCAGAGTGACTGGGGACCTCTCTAGCCCTCCCTCTGCACTTTTGTGCTCCAGAACATTCTCAAGAGATCCCTGGCTTTCCCATTTAAGGAGGAAGAGTCACTTAACAAATAGTTTTTAGCTGCGTCTTAGGCACCAGCTTGCCAATGGCCCCAAGTCCTTTGGCTGGTCTCCCTTACACCATTGTTCTGCACAAGAAGGCTGATGGGGGAGGAGGGCTCTGCGGCTTCCCTCAGATTGGCTTCCTGCGTGACACTATACTGATGAGGCCAGATATTGAAATAGGCAGAAAAGACCAGAGGAAAAAAAGAGCAAAGATACAGAAGCCTCTGATTTTGGATCTGTGGTGGGTATTCTTATTTTTGACTGATCTTTTGGTGGTAGGTAGAGGGGGTTCTTTGGGCACAGCTGGGTGAGAGGTGTGGTGTCTTCCCTGTCCAACCTCCCCTTTTTCCCTTCTCTTCAGTGGCGTTTTACCTTCAGTCACTTTGTAGTAGAACCTGGCCAGGAATATGAGGTGACCGTTCACCACCTGCCCAAGCCCATCCCTGACGGGGACCCCAATCACCAGTCCAGGAACTTCGCCGTGCCTGGTAAGAGCGCCCCACTCAGCCCTTCCCTTTACCCGTGGCTCTGCAGAAGAATCCTGCAGGTTGCCCAGACATCAGCCTCCCTGCTCAGCTGGACAGTGGCTGCTATTGTCAGCATGTGATGCCCACGGAACAAACAGATGCCCGGGATGGGGGGCTCTTTGCGGTGTGGCTGCAGCCTATACTCCCTGAAGGCAGAGCCCATTCTCTGACCCCAGGAGTTCTAAGGGAACCAGAGTCCCTCTCTCTGTCTAGAGAAGCACGGTCCCTGCCCAGGAAGTATCAGGAAGACACGCCACTCTTGGAAGAGTTATAACCCCTGTTCCCAGCCTTGTCCCAGCTTCTGTCACCTTGTTCTTCCCTTTGACCTCATATCCTATCTGCGTTTATCTCACACCATCCCACGTATGACACCATCTCCTCTTCCCCCACTCATCCATCTTGTCTGTGAATACTGCCAGGTTTATCTTTGAAAACAGCCTGCAGTGTGTGTGCACCTTCTATCTCTCTGTCCTCTTCAGAATGTAAGCCACAGCCTACAACACTTCTCACTGTTCAAAGCCAACCACACTTGGAACGCCAGCCCCCTTGAGGACGGGGTCTGGGTCCTATACCCATTTGTGCAATTGCCAGAACCTCACAAACTGTGATCAGGAAATGCTTGTTAAGGATGATGATGACCTTCGTCTCTGGAGCACCCCTACACACACATGCACACACAACCCCCACTCACACTATCTGCTTACTCTACTCTTCTTCAGCTTACTCATCACTCCCTGATATAATATTGTCATAATATATTTGTGACATTATATTATGAATTATATTATATTCATTTTATTGGTCTCTTCTACCAGAATGTGATCTCTGGACGACAGGGACTGTCTTTATTCACCACTGTATCTCCAGCACCTAGAATGGTGCCTGGCACATATTGGGCGCTCCATAAGCATTTGTTTAGTGAGTGATTCTCCCCAGCCCCCTCCCCTGTCCCTAAAGTATACTGAGGTAGTCCCTGTCACTCAACAATTCATACTTGTCACGTGTCTTCTTAAACCAAAGTAAAAACGTTACAGTCAAGGAAATTAGGGAAGGGGATCAAGAAGCTATCTGGAGCAGTGGTCCTTTAGGTAGTTCCCAGAATCTGATAGAAAGGCAGATTCTCAGGAACCGCCATCCTCCCCTCCCTCTCTCCCCTCCCCCACCACCACCTGCTGAATCAGAAACTGCTGATGATGGCACACACAAAAACTCAAGAAAAACTACCATGGAGGAACAAAAAACAAAGTTCTCTCTCCCTTTGTAAACAGTCAGAGGCAACCCTGGAGAGGAAGCTGCAGTGGGGAGAGAAGGCACTGGATTGGACCATGACTCTGGTCACCCAAAGCAAGCTCAGGAGAAATACACTTGAATCTAGAGGGTTCCCTGACAGAGGAGGGTTGAGGCAGCTCAGTCGACCCCAATGCTGCGGGGCTTGCTTTGAAGAGGTCATCCTTGAACAGGCTCTCTAGAAGGAAAACTGTTATCCTGGTGTCAGCAGTCTGGAAGAGTAAACTTTCTGAGGCAGAGGCTTAATGGTTTCCTTTTGCTTCTGGGTCTGCAGACTGCAAGGACCCCAGGATGAAGAACACTACACCATGTGTGAGCTCAGGTAATTTCAGCTGGCCGCCTTGCCAAGGGAGCTTTACCTGGGTGTGCATGCCCTCCCCTCACCCCCAGCCTGTGTCTGTTCCCTGGGCAGGCAGCCTGTGGGACCCCAACATGACCGCAGACACCCTGGAAGCCCACCAGCTGCGGGTGAGCTTCACCCAGTGGAACGAACCTACCCGTTACCAGATCCTGCTCAGCAGTTTCCCACGCACAAAGAACCAGACATGTTCCCAAGAAGTACTGGATATACCTGCGGTAACTCCCTGCCACTCCTCACCCCTCAAACATAGCTCAGAGCCACCTCTCCAAGCCCCAGCCTCCCCTTACTGATCCTGACAACATTGTTGCCAGAAGCCCAGTGCTCGGCGCTATGCTCAGGCAGTACCGATCGGAATGCTTGGCTCTTTTTCCTTCCTTTTGGTATGTAGTTGATATACAAGGACAGCTGACTCTGGTGGAGGTTTCCTTTTGCTCTTACAGTTTATGGCTAACAGAGTATAGGTGGTCTCTGCCCTACCCACCACCCCCATCCTTTTTGCCCTTCCCTCCCCCACATTCTCCCTGTTCTCTTTTTGTTCTACTTCATTTATTCCACTGATTTCAAAATGGATTTGAAGATGTTTTAAATGTGGAAATGAAGACAAAGGGGAAATAAAGATGAAGCAATAAGATGAAGCCAGGGTGCAATGAGCACAGAAAATGTGCCATGATGCTGGGTGTGAGCAGAGATTTGTCCCTGCAATGCCCAGCAGCCAAAGCAAAGAGGGGAATACCAGTCACTAGCTGTGTTTGTGAGTTAACAGCAGACCCGATGCACTGGGGAAATGTCGTTTTCCTGGTGCAGAAACCTGGAAGGTGTTTATCCCTCTGGCCTTCCTGAGGGCAAACTGACATTGGGGAAGGTTGTCACCAGCTTCCTGCAACGCTACAGCCAGCTCTGGTCCAGCTAGCCTCACCCATCCTCTCCCCTCTCTTTAGCCCACACGAGAGGACTTCCACCAGCGGTCCAACGTCACATTCACTCTACAAAACTTTGATTGGTGCTGCCACCACCAAGTGCAGGTGGGTGAGTGGTGTAGACAGGTATGGGAGAGCGTGCACAGGTCGGCATTCCTGCTAGATGGGCAAGGGAGGGAGGGAGGGTGACTTGTGGACTGGCGCTCTCTCTGAGGACCCAACTCCACTACTGTCTGAGATGCCCTGCTTGGTGAGGCATCATCTCTGCCTCTCCAGTCCCACTCTCTCAGCCTCATCTGGACAGGGCTTTTTTGACCCCCTGTCGATGATGGGCAGTCTACCTAACAACCACAGGACAACCCTGGAGCCGCCCGCCAGGGTCCATTGCTCTGCTGGCAGGAAAGTATCCGTGGGGGTCCCTGTCTTCCCTGCTCTTCTATGCCCTCACAGATTCAGCCCTTCTTTATCAGCTGTCTGAACGACTGCCTCAGACACCTCGTCACTGTCCCCTGCCCAGGAACTCCTACCCCAGGTAGGAAGCATATGGCTGTCCTGGGGCATATTTGGGGTGAGAGTAGATGAAGGTTAACAGCTTGTCTTGAACCCTGACCTGGTCCTAAGGATGGGGCAGAGTTTAAGCTGGAGGGATTCAGGCCTGAGGTGTGGGGCTTTAGAAAGAGACTCCTGGATTAGACTGCCTTTCGTTACTGTGTGGCCTTGGGCAAAGTTCATAATCTTTCTGATCCTCCACTTCTGTGACTGGAAACGTGGGGACCGTCACTGTCATCGAGTTGCAGTTATATGTGATGTGCAGAACAAAGTGCTTTAACATGTCATTGATTTTAATCCTCACAAGTTGTGAGTCAGAGTACCTAAGAAATGGAGACTCCCTTCCCCTGGTTCATAGATGAAGAGATGTTACGCAATTTGTCCAAGATCACACAATAGGGAAGCGGCACAGCCCATTCAGAAGCCATGTGCAGCCTGACATGTGGCTAGTCAAAGCTGATCAGAAAGCAGCAGATGTTGCACTGGCCTGGATGGGAGGTGGGACATCACTTAGTAGAGCAGCAGCTCAGGTGTTTCCTGTAGATAGTTTGATCAAGTTGACCCATATCTAAAGTGCTTGGTGTAGGACCAAGGTCATTAGCAGGCCCTCATCGGATGTCAGTGATGATTTTGTGATTTCTGCTAATAATTAAAAATACTTCTTTCCTTTTGTTCTCCTTGCAGACCCGATTGCAGGTAAGCCCAGTGTTCCTTCCCATAGTGTGCTGCAGGAGCCCCAAGGGGACATTCCTGAGGGGCCATGTGAGACATTCCTGGCAGAGCCTTGTGTGGAGCCAGGCACACAAGGCTGAACCAAGAGAACTGCCCTGGGGGTGGGGGTGGGGGGTGGGGGAGTGAGATCACCAGCCTGTCCTGGCGCAGGCCAGAGAGACCTGGTGAGGGGCTGGGCAACAGGGCTGGGGACCTCAGGGCTGCCGTAGCAGGCCTCCCTGCCACATCACTCATGCTGTTCTACTCGTCACAGACTATATACCCCTGTGGGTGTACGGGTTCATCACGGGCGTCTCCATCCTACTGATAGGCTCCGTCATCATGCTGGTGCTCTGCATGACCTGGAGACTGTCCGGTAAGGGGCAAGCATGGTGGGGTGGGGCCTTGGGTTTTCCCCTCTGCTCTTGTCTTTCTTCCTATGTTCCCCTCCCCACTCCAGTCTCTGTAAGGCTGTGCTCAGAGAGCGTACTTCAATCTCAAATTTCATGCAGACATCGCCTCTGTTGTCAAGAGCTCCGAGTCTGCAGTAAGGCTGACCCGGGCTCAGATACCAACTCCAGCACTTCCACCTGGGCAAAGTACTCAATTCTCTGAGCCGAGGTTGTTCTTTTGTAAAAAGGAAATTATAAAGATGCCCACATCATAAAGCGATTGTAAAGATTACTTGAGGTAGTGCATATGAGTTCTTAGCATGGAGCCTGGCACATGATATTTGCTCAGTATGTGCTGGCTACAATTGCATTTATTGCTACTAAAATTAATATTATTAAAATCAGCAGGTTGGAAGGAGCTAGGGTGGAGGTTCCCTGCTCAGACATAATCAGCCAGGCAGGTGGAGCAACCTGAGTGACCCCATCCTGCAGCCTCTAGATTGTACCCCTGAGGTCAGGGAGAGTAGCATGACAAGGGACAGCATGATGTGACAGAGAAGACTCCAGGGACCTAGAGCACATGGCTATGCATCCTAGCTCTGCCTCACTGGTTTGCCATCAAAAGCAAGTTGCTTAACAAATTGTAGATTTGGGTTTTTTTCTGGAAAATGGCATTATAACACATCCCTGTCAGGGCTGTGGTGAGAATTAAATGACATAGCAAGGAAGGTGCTTATTGTTGGGTGTTAATAAATATGGGTTCCCTCTCCCTGCTCAACCCTCTCTGTCCAGGTTCTCTCAGGTTAGGGGGCTCAGCCTTTCCCTGCTCCTCCACAACCTTGGGTTCCTCCTTCAACGATCTGGGAGGCCATTTCCCCACTTACAAGGCTCATTGGGATTAGGTATTTAATCAGTTTTAATTATATTGTGCAGTGGGAAGAACACCAAACCAGGCAGACCTGTTGAGAGGGTCCTTCTCCAGAGGATTATTGGGCAGGTCAAATGAGTTAACATTTCTTCGAGTGCTTTATAAACTGTAAAGTTAACATCTCTAAGTGCTTTATAAACTGTAAAGCTCTCTATAGATGTCAGGGAGGCTTCTTGTTTCTTTTCTGCTGTTGCTCTTCTGACCTTTCCTGAAGTGCCCCCAACCATGAGGTGAAGGAAGGGACAGAAAAGAAACCTCACTCATTGACTGCCTTTTGACAGTTCTGGGAAAAGGCCCAAAGGGTGGGGATTGAAATGAAGGCTCTTAGTGTCTTCCTTGGCCATCCATTGACTCTGTTCCTCCCGTCTGTGTCACAGAGTAGTTGATAGTTGATTCCTGCACTGCAGTTTCCTTCATTGCATCTCTGAGGAGAGGGATTGCTCAGATATGTTGGTTTCCCTTCCTCACCTCAAAAATACCAGGAGGAGGGCCGGACGAGTGGCTCAGTTGGTTAAGAGCTCCCTCAAGAGTGTGAGCTCTGAGCAACAGTGGTTTGAATCCCGCCCGAGCTGAGCAGCCGCTGAGCTGCCAGCAGGTGGCAGGATGGTTCAGCTAAAAAAAAAAAAAAAATACCAGGAGGAAATGTCATCACACCCAGTGGAGGCTACTTCTGGAGATACGTTGTAAGATTTATGCTTCCTATAAGGACAGCTCTAGGGAAGGGCTTTTCCTCAAGTGGGGAGTTTCCTTGGGGGTGGCCAAATTGTGGGGAGGGGACACCAGGACTGTAATGAGGGGCCAGAGGGGAACCCCCAGTCACCACTCCAGGCATTCTGGTTGGGTCAGTGCCACAGAATCCTTGTGACCCCAGCTGACTATGTATGATGTGCCAGGCACTTCACATACCAATCTCATTTAATCCTCCACCACACACCCATTTTACAGAGGAAGAAGCTGAGTTTCTGAGGCATTAGTAACTTTCCCAGATCTCACCACTCACCATGGCTGGCCGGGATTCACATCTGAGCAACTCACACAGCACGGTCCCTCTGCAAAGGCCCAGAAGCGTCTAGTAACTTCTGTCTCGGGCCGCCCTCCCTTATCAGTTGCCCTTTGTCAAGTGGGGCTGGGCTCCCGTCAGGTGCCCTGTGAGCTGGTTCCTATGTCTCTTCCAAAAGAGCCACTTCAATGGTTTTCTTTTCAGGGTCTCATCATGAAAAATATGGCAATGACACCAGAGATACAGGTCAGTATTTCCTGGTGTGGGTGGGCTGTGTTTGGTGGGTGTTTGTTTTTAAAAGCATGATGGAGGGTTCTCCTGAGATACATGGATGGGTTGCCTTCTGCAGTTTAACTCCTGAGTCTCTTCAGGAGACCTCACCTTTAGAGGACCTGCCTTCTGCACCCCCACGCAGAGGGCACCTCAAATGGCAAGGCTGGAGTAATGTTTTTAAATCACTTGGACAAGGAAAGGAAGGGAAGTTACCATAATTTGTAAAAAGAGGTCCCCCCTATAACAGACATATCTGTTCCATAGGAAAGGTCTTCGTGCCTTTTTTCTTTTTAATTAAAATAATTAAAATATAGACTAAAGGCCAGATAGAAATGCGAGAGAGGGAGATTCTTTTTCCAGAAGGCACCAAACTAGTTTTTTTCAGGCAGCCCAAACAGGTGAAACAGCAACATTTGGCTTATTCCAAGGCCTCAGTTACATTTCTTAGGCTGGGGAGCAGAGCTCTGTCTGGCACCTGCCCTTGGCCTGTGGTGCGAGGGTCAGCGCAGACACACATCTGAACCTGTGGTCTTGGCTTCCCTTGTTTCCCCTAGATGTCCTGCCCGCCACTGGTCTCACACCCCCTCCCCTGAAGCCCAGGAAGGTCTGGATTGTCTACTCTGCCGACCACCCCCTCTACGTGGACGTGGTCCTAAAGTTCGCCCAATTCCTGCTGACCGTCTGTGGCACCGAAGTGGCCCTTGACCTGCTGGAGGAGCAAGTCATCTCAGAGGTGGGGGTCATGACCTGGGTGGGCCGTCAGAAGCAGGAGATGGTAGAGAGCAACTCCAAGATCATCATCCTGTGCTCCCGAGGCACCCGGGCCAAGTGGCAGGCCATCCTCGGCTGGGAGGAGCCTGCTGTCCAGCTTCGATGTGACCACCAGAAGCCCGCAGGGGACCTTTTCACAGCGGCCATGAACATGATCCTCCCAGACTTCAAGAAGCCGGCCTGCTTCGGCACATACATTGTCTGCTACTTCAGTGACATCAGCAGTGAGAGTGATATCCCCGACCTCTTCAACATCACTTCCAGGTACCCACTCATGAGTAAATTTGAGGAGGTGTACTTCCGGATCCAGGACCTGGAGATGTTTGAACCTGGCCGGATGCACCATGTTGGGGAGCTTAGAGGGGATAACTACCTGCAGAGCCCCAGTGGCTGGCAGCTCAAAGAAGCTGTGGGGAGGTTCCGGGAGTGGCAGACTCGGTGCCCTGATTGGTTTGAGCATGAGAACCTTTGCTCGCCGGATGACCCGGACCTCCCATCCCTGGATGAAGAGGTGTTTGAAGAGCCACTGCTGCCACCAGGAAGAGGGATTGTGAAGCAAAAGCCGGTGGTACAGGAGCCTGCCCCTGAGGGCTGCCTGGTGGTAAATCTTCTCGGCCCTGAGAAAGGAGGGGGAGTGGCGAGGCTGCAACCTCAACTTCAGGCGGCACAGCCCCTCCTAGCCATGGTGCTCCCTGTGGATGTGGTCCCTCCTGCTCAAGCCATGGAACCCGTCTCTCACACCGTCGGGAGCCACGCAGCTAGCCGGTTGGCCGTTGTGGAGGGAGGCGAGGCCTGCCCACTGCTAGAGGGCTGCGACCCTCGGAGGAACAGTGTCGTCTTCCCCATCATGGACTCAGAGCACCCGCCTGTCTGCAGCACCCCGACAGCATCACCCCACCACTTCCCAGAGCACGGAAGGGAGCAGCTCGAAAGCTTGATGTTCTCACTCTTCCAGCAGAGTCTGAGCTGCCAGGAGGGGTGGGAGAGACCGGCCGTGGCCCTGGAAGACCCATACACACCCTACGAGGAGGAGCAGCGGCAGTCGGTACAGTCTGACCAGGGCTATATCTCCAGGAGCTCCCCACAGCCCCCCGATGGACTTATGGAAATGGAGGAAGAGGAAGAAAAGCAGGACCTGTGCAAGGTGGCCAAGAAGCTCTCCCCTGAGGCCCTGGAGAGCCTGAGAAGCCTCCAGCGACAGCTTTTCTTCCAAGAGCTTCAGAAGAACTCTGGCTGGGACAGTGTGGAGCCAGAGGGGCCAGTGGCATAGGGCCTCCCAGATCCAGAGCGCTGAGAGAAGGGAGTGTGTATGTACATGGGTGTACACGTGTGTCTGTATATGTGTATGTGCATTATATTTGTGTGTGAAATGGTACCTTTAAAATGTAGATATCTTGATTCTGATGCCTGGGCATCCCTCTTAATTTTTCTTTCTGTGACTGTCTGGTCATCTTCCATCCCCACAAAAATCTACAGCCCATTCCCAGGAGCTAGTGGCAGTGTCCTTGAGTGTCCATCATTCATTCATACATTCATTCATTCATTCAACATTTATTTTGTACCTACTATGTGCCAGGCATCTGAGATACAAAGATAAATTGTCCCTGGTCTTGGCCTTGGCCACCAAGGAGCTTAACATCTTGTGAGAGCGACATATTAGCAAATAGAGGAGGTCATGAAAGATGTAAAGACTGAACAGACGCCTGTCCAGGGCTATGCAGACACACAGAAGGGGCGCCTGGCCCAGTGATACATTCCTGGAGGGGATGATGTATAAGCTGAAGGGAGAAGCTAGTTTCCTAGGCAAGAGATTGTGGTTGGAGAAGGCACCAGTCTCAGGGAAGCAGCATGTGGAGTAATGGCTGGGAGGTGAGTGGGAGTTAGGCCATCAGGGAACTGCAGGTTGAGCCTGGAGAGGAAGGAGGGAGGCATAAGAGATGGGATGAAGACATCACCAGAGCCCAGGCTGGGAGTTAGGACATCAGCCCAAAGGCCTGGGACTCCTTGAATATGAGGAGCTGTTATCCTGCAGAGGAGGAGGCTGAGGGCCAAACATACCTGGAAGCCACCTCAGATCATTTTGGAAAGAGACAGGATAAACATCTGTGATGTGAAACTGAACAGCATTCAACAGGGAGAAAGGTCTAAAACCCTGAGCTCGTGTTTTGGCAGTCAGTGGGAGAGTTATGGCAGAGGATGCTTTTGGGGCTGCTGGCTCTGAAGCACTGGGAGCTGAGGGACCTTAGCTCCACACTTGGGTCCAGTGGCAGAGTGAATTGAGTATGAGATACGGAGCGGGGAGAATGGGAGGGCAGTGAGGATCTGGGCAGGCCCTTTGAAGGGAGAGGAATGTGCCACTCTACTTAAAGGTCTGAGGTTCAGAGACAGCATTTGAGGAGAGATGCTAAGGCCGTGTGTGAAGTTGTTCCCGGAAGAGTGCACTGGGATGCCATCTGCCCCTGGAGCCGAGGGTTCTCCATCACCTATGTTTGTGCTGTTAACTATAGCTTCAAGTTTCAGCACAGAGGAGAGGATTTCTGAAATGTGATGGGAAACCAAATATTACAGGTGTACATGTGCATGAAAGAGGTTGTCAATAAAAGAATGAATACATTTAACTCTGCTAAGAATTCCTGGTAGTTATTTTGAGTCACATGTTCCCATAGGTCAAGCAGTCCTAGTTAGAATTCTCTTCTTGTAGTGAGATTTTGCCAAGTAGCAGCAAGAGCATCGAGGCCTAAGTCCCAAACAATGTGTAGTCCAGGCCCAGCCCAACAGCAGCAAAGGACCAGGTGAGAGAGAGGTATGGATGAGATGTCTGTGTTCCCTCAGAAATTCTTAAGTTGACACTTAATCCTCAAGGTGATGGTATTAGAGGTGGAGCCTTTGGGAGCTGATTAGATCATGAGGGTGGGGCCTCATGAATGGGATTAGTGCTCTTATAAAAGAGACCCCAGAGAGATCCTTTCATTCTTCTGCCACCCTCTCTTTAGTGTCATTCCTTTGTTGCTTCCACCTCCCTCCCGCTCCCTGTAGCCCCCCAGTCTCACACTGGTCACCGTAGGTGCTGGAAATTCTGTCAACCTGAATGTGGTGTCTGCTATGAGCCCAATGCCAAGAATCAAGAGCTTCAAGAGCACGTATAAAGGAAGTGAGGCCTGCCTTTCCGTATTATTCTGAACCATGGCTAATAAAATTCTACTTTGCCTAGAAGAGCCCCTCCAAGAACACCTGTCCTCCAAGCTGTGACTCTCCCACCTCTCTGGTCCTGCTTCAAAACAGTGCTTTAGAGGTGGCTCAAGGTGGGCGGAAGGACCCACAGTCAACGTGTGACCACAGCATCCTTTGGCAGGTGCCTATGACTGCTGGCCAGTGCAAGCCTCCCACTCCTGGCGCATTTCCATAGGTGTTTCCTGCCTGCTGTCCTGACCCTAGTCAGAAAAAAAAAAGGTGTGATTAGATGGCGGGTGGTCTGGGCATGGCTCCATACAGTGCTTCTTACTACTTCTATTTGAAACCAGTTTTCCTTTTTCTGCCTAGGAAGGTCCTCAGCGGTGTTTAGTCTTTGAGGGAGTTTGTTCTGTCATTTAGACATTCATTCAGTAGTTTGAGCTGGGATCTCTGAATGCTAGGGCGTGATGGATTTTACTTAGTTCCTGCTAATCTTCGAATATGAAATAGGGCATAAGGGAGAAGCTGTACTAACAGTGTGATGGGTGATTTTCATTCTGCAGTTCTTCCCCAATAAATAAGGGGAGAGCCAGCCCTGTTCTGCTCCAGCACCTCCTGAGAAGACCTGCCAAGGAAGGGCCACAAGACAGTCTGCTCCAGGCTCTGCAAGACAGTAGGGGCCCAAGCATGCGTGAACTCAAGAGTCAGACACAGCCTGGGCCCTGGGTGTCAAGTCGAGTGTGTTGGAGAGTTTTCTTAAAGAGGCTGTGCCTCTAGCTCCCATGCTTGCCAGCTGAGTTACTTAACTGAAGTTATCTTCCTTAGGCCTCAGGTAGCTTGTCTCTAAAATGGGTGCAGTAGGAATTCCTACCTCACTGAGGTCTTGTGAGGATGGTGAAGCCTACGTGTGAAGTGCTTAGGTGGTGTCCCACACACAGGAAGCACTGCAAACATGGCAGCCACACTGGTTCAGATATTTCCACCCCTCCCACACTGCTGCCTTTGAGGAGCCTGGAGGCTTCCATAGGTCTCTTTGCCCCTTGGCAAGGAGAAGCGCTCTGACCTGGCTCTGGGTCAGAGCAGTTTATGAACCCAGGGTACTATGTATCTAGCCTCCTTTCCTGTTGTCACTGCTTTCTTACTCAAGTGTTTGCTTTTTCAGATTATAAAAGTAATAGATGACCCAGTATTTGACATATTAGGAACTTAATAAATGTGTTGGCTGCGTGAATATGCTCATTTTGGGAAAATGGAAACAATATAGATTCTATAGATTCTATGTTGCAGAAGATAAAGCAACTGCCCCCAGACCATGGGTATAGGCTGTGACGTTGGGGTGCCCCGTGGCTTTCTGCCAGGATGGGACCCTTGCCGGATGTCTGCTCCCCACTCAGTGCCTTCCACATCACTCCTAAATGGCTTCCAGGTCCATCTCCTTTCTTTTGGCCTTTCCCCAGCTCTCCATGCCCTGCTGCCTCTCCCAGGTCTTGGCACTGGGTCCACATGCTCAACTTTTCCATTTGGTCAAGGCAGGCAGGGTGCCCTGTTGAACCAGCCTTTCCTGTTAGAGGAACATGGAGTCCTCTCTCTCATGATTTGAAGGATGCCAAGAAGTCTTGTCCAATATGCCTGCCCATCCTGGTACCAATTCCTTTCCTAGGAGGAATAGTCCCTTAGGTTGGTAACTGATTAGGTTTCTGATTAGAAAGGAAGAAGATACAACAGTACCCTGAGAGGACAAAGGGGAGATAAAGGAGAGGGAGAGGAAAAATTGGCTGGCCCCCACTTTTGCCTGCACCTACATGGTGTCCTGCCAGTTGACTTTTGCTCAGTGCCTCTTCCATGACACTCACACAGAATATGAAAACTAGTCCCTGCTTTTTAGCCAGAACTGCACAGTTTTAATGAAGGGTAAGTTGAACCCAGTTAACAGATAAAGTCTGAAGGGTGCCTGAGGTACAGATTTTGAAGGCAGGCAGTCTTGGGTTCAAATCAGAATTCCCTTCCTAACTATGGTGTGGCATTCAGCAAGCTACTTCCTCTTTCTGGACCTCAGGAAAATGGAGATAAAGCTGCCTAGGAGGTGGCTGAGAGTGAAATGAGCCAATGAGCATCCAGGGCCTGGCAGTCACGTGCAGGATATATTCCCATGCTCTTCCTTAGGGCCACAGCTGCAGGGCCAGACTCAAATCCTCAGGCAAGGCCTGAGTGTGGTCTCAACACAGCCCATTCATGAGGAGAGCACTCCTACACCTCTTCTTCACCTTTCACAAAGTGCCTCCAGGTATGCCCCAGCACTGACCAAAATTGGTGAGAGCTAACTTGTGTAACTAAGAAATGTATAAATATTTATAACATGCTTAGCCAAATTAATCATTTTATTTTACATCTAGATTTAGGAAGAAATGAAGGCATGGTCTCAGGTTGTTCTGTAATTATTTCCTGTGTAAATTTTGCCCCCACCCCACATTATGATTATAAATGTCTTGAGGAAAAGGACCATTTTTGCATATATCACCTCATTTAATTCTTACCACAGCCTTGTGAGGTAGGTAATATTACTTCTGTTTTATAAGTGTTGAAAACATCCCAGGAGGTCAGGTAAGGGCCCAAAGCCACAGCTAGTAGGAGGCAGAGCAAGCCTGCGAGCAGGCTCTGACCATGCTCCAACTTTGCCTCTCTCACCCTGCTTGGTCAAACCACTGTATGGCCTTTGGAATGGCCAGAAGCATCATAGGGCAACAACACAGAGTAGCTTGAATAGTGCTGACTGTCTCTGTGCTAAAGAAAAAAAACCCAAAACTTTAATTTTATTTTTATGCAGACACAATGTTCTGTCTTAGACTTCACAGTCCCCTTTGTGTTAAAAAAAAAAAAAACCCATGGCCTGTTCTTCTCACTCATACGTGAATTCATGCTTCTGAAGGGTGCATGAGCAATAGAGGAGGGCAGAGTAAAAATAAGTTCTCAGGCTTTCCCCTTTGGTAAGTTATTCTGAGAAAGAAATGGGAGAGATAGCTCCGGGTTGCTGGAACTATCACTCTCAGGATGAGAGCCCATCTGATTTAGCCCTGCCTACACCCACCAGGTCAAGGCCAAAGCCACACTATCTCCCTGAGTAGCATGCCACTGCTTAGAAGGAAATAGCCAAGGTGAACCCATAATGTTAACATAAACCTATAAAATGGTGACAAATGTCACAGTGACATTTAAGAATTTAGTAAGGAAATCAGGACAGGAAAGATCTTAAACCACACAGGAAGCTTGTCACAAGTCTCAAGTTTTTTATTTTCAGAACAAGCTGGTTTTATTTTTAAAAAGAGAATGGGGATTTAAAAACATGATAAATGCTAGTGATGTGCCACTTCCCTTCTTCCAGGCTCTAACTGCCATCTAGCTCTTCCCCCAAAACAGGTGGCATCAGAGCCAGGACAGGTTCTATCAGAACGCCCTTTAGCATGGGTGTGGTCCAACCCCTGAGCGAGGACACTCTGACTGGCTCAAATGTTAGAGGCAGGTAGTCTGGATTCTGAACCCGGGTTCTGGTCTGTGAACTGTGCTGCTGGCATCAGCCTCAGAAGACAGTGTACTCCTGTCTATCAGGCCCATGGGGAATGTCTCCAGTTTGACCCCCTATAGATGCCCCTAGGAAGCAAGAAAAATGAAGCTTTAGAAGTCATTTCTTCTTGCGAATGGGGCAACGGAAATAAGTAAAAGGGATAATGAAAAACACCAGAAGGCAGGAAGGGACTGACCCCCTGAGCACAAGGTGCTTGCACCAAATGTTTGGAAGAGGATGTCAGGCAGGAGGGGTGGCAGTGGGGACAGGGCCTGCAAAGGCCTGGCCTCTACCAGAATTGGCCTGGTTGCCATCAGTCTATCAACGTACTTAGGAAAGTGGCAGCTCATGGGAACCTATCACAGCCTCCCACCAGAAAATCCAATAGCACTCAGAGTTTTACAGTCAGTCACTCAGCAGGGAGACCACCATCCAATCAGTAGAAAGGGGGTAGGGCAGGGGGCCAGCCAGGAGCTGGCCATGGCTCAGACACAAAGTCCTTTCATAGTCACTGAGATTAGGTAGCAGAGAAACAGCAAAGCTGGAGAGAGGATGTGGAAATAGAGGAAGCAGCTATTGGGGCCTACCCAGGATCTGGGCCCAGAACTCGGAGCAAATGGAATTCAAAGGGAAACAAGAGGAGTTAGTAGAGGAAGGAAAGAAGGCAGAAAAAAACAATTAGCTGCAAACAACCAGCTTATATTGGACCCAGTAAGATGAGGGACTGGAAGCACAGATAGTGCACTGAGTGTAAACATTTTTCCTCCATTGTTTCCCCACTGTGAGAGTAGGGGGAAGCTCAGGAGAACTGTGGTCAAGCCATCAGCCCATCTTGTGTCTCTGTCTACATGGACATCTTCTGTCAGCAAGCCCCCAAGAAATTGGGAGAGAAAGGCCCCAAGCAAAAAACTGAGGCCCAGAAAGCAAAAGTGATGTGTCACTCACAGCTAATGAGTGACAAAGTCAAAACTATATTCCATGACTTCTGAGTTTATTACATGTCCAGGACTTATTACACCACACAAAAGTTCCCAAGCATAAGAAGGAAGAAGGGGAAACAAAAATTCTTACAATTTCACCCTACCCCATCCTATTACAGGGTGGGGGAGAGTATTTCCTGGCCTTGCTTCAAACTGTCCTCCTGTACTCTTACCTCCCCTAAAAATACTTATTCTGCCTCAAGGATTCCAAGAGTGATGTCCAAGATTGGTGAGCAATGCCTGGATGTCCCATGTCATCAGCCTCAACAAGAGGAACACCAGAGAGGAAAGCTGGACAGGGTAGGGTTTGCCCACCCTGTTTCAAGAAGCCTGCACTTTCCCTGGTGATTCTCTTAACCAGAGCAGAGGACAAAGGTCACCACCACTGTTCCTGGTCTACACCAAACTTCCTAGAGGGAGGGTGGAAAGGGGGGGCACAGAATTGGATTTCCTAATCCTTTGGGCCCATGTGAGACTCAGCTTCACATCTTCCAGGAACCCCACCAGAGCTGTTGTTCTGAGCCTAGATCTAACCCAGTGCACAAGGATAAGAGTTCTGGGTGCAGAGAGAGGAGGGCAAGCCAATGGCCGATACTCCACAGACCCTGTAATAACACTGGCACCAAATCCCAGCTGGATCCAGTAGCCATGTTAAATGCAACTTCCGAATATTTTGTCTTTATTTTTTGCAAGCAGCATCAGTGCGTGATGCAACAAAAGTCGAAAGCACAGAGGTAGAAATGCTCACTCACCCAAGAAAGGGTGCAGTTTGGTCCTTAGAGTATGAACCCTTTCCTCCCGCCAAGCTGAGGAGAGAGGAGCAAGATTGAGGAAGATCCTGGGTGAGCTTCTCCCTTGAAGGAGAACAAGTGGGCAGCTCCCAGGAGCCCAGCTCTTTCTGGGAATTCATGGCCACGAATTCACGTAGAAATAAGGAAGATGGTGGTTTATATGGTGGGGAGGGCAGGGCCTCCCCAGATCTCCTACTGGTTGCAAGGGGCCACAAGGTGGACCCAAGGAAACAACACTACACATACACAGAGACACAGACTTTGCATTTACCATCTGGAAGAAACCCAATAGACACATCAGGGGACAGTAGATTCTGGGTTAATTTCAAGGCATGGGACAATGGTCACTAACCACAGCCTAAAACAAACTGGCACTTCCAAGCAAGGGGGAAGGCCTAAAGCCCAGCACCCCCTGCCTGGGCACCCCCTCTTTTCTATCCCCCCACACATACACAATGGATAGGAATTAGGGTGGAGGTGGGAAAAGCAAGAAGCAGAGGTATCCAGCCCCTTGGAGGCTAGGATTAGGGTCAGGCATGGAGAAGTGAGAATAGAGAATGTGGACCTTCCTCCCTCACCATTAGCTGCTGGTCTACCTCCGAGCAATCTTGACTCAAGGGGTACAGAAGGACACACTAGCCCTTAGCCCTATTAATAGTTACCTCTTCCAAAGAGAGCCTGATCAAATCTGGGTGAGAGGTCAGAGGACAAGGGAGCTGGGGTCTCGCAACCGAAAAGCAAGCAAGCCCCCTTCTTTATCTCCCTCAATTCTGGGAGGCCACAGCCAGGGTGTTGACATAGCCATGAGCACCCCCCTCGTTGTCCGAGATGCAGTGACCCAGCTGGGAGCCTCCCTGAGGTGGTGGCGGTGGTGGCGGTGGCGGTGGAGGCGGGGCAGAGGGCGGAGCACCGTAGCTCCCTCTGGCCCGACTAGGGGAGGTCCGACTTCCGGGGTCCCAACAGCCCTCTAGGGCCTCCAGGCCACGGCAACCGAGGAAGAAGAGGTTCTTGAGCATGAAGATGGAGAGGGGCTGCTGGTAGCTCACCACCAGGAGGCAACGCAGCGCCAGCAAGGGCACGTCCATCAGGCAGCCGCCCAGCAGGCGCAAAAGGCGGCTGCAGCTGCCGGGCCCGGAAGCCTGGCCCCAGGATGAAGCCACGGCTGCTGCGTTGAGCTCGTAGAGCCAAAGCACCGGCGAGGCGAGGGTGAGGAAGTAGACTGCAATGAGCAGGTAGCGCAGGTGTGCGGGGAGCGGCACGCGGCCTTCCAGCATCAGCTCCACCAGAGTGAAGCTGTCAAGCAGGTCCAAACACGTGCCCAGGAAGCAGCCGGCGGCGCGGTGCTGCTGGGGCTGCAGAAGCAGGGGACCCGTTGAGCCTGGCGGGGCGCCCGCCTCGCTGATGGCCCGCACCAAGCTGTAGAGCAGAGGAACCGACAGTGCCATGGTGAGGCGGAAGCCCGTGGTGCCGAAGGGCGCGCGCAGCTCAATGAGGTCCAGGATGGATGTGCCCAAGATGAGCACCACCTTAGGCGTGAAGGCGATGGAGTAGATGAGCCAGGCCAGGTAGGCGAAGGCGAACTCGCCCGTGGCCGCGGCCGCCCCCGGGCCGCCCCCGGCGCCTCCGACACCTCCGCGGCCGCAGCGCGCCTTGGCTCCGGCCGCAGCCCCGGCGGAGGCTGTGGGAAGGTGCAGGGGCGGCGCAGCGTGGTGGTGGTGCTGGTGGTGGTTGTGCGCGCCACTCGCCGCGCTGCCGGGACGGGCTCGGCTGTTCTTGGCGAAGAAGATGGCCCAGCCCACCACCACAACCAGGTCGGTGGCGATCCATGAGCACCAGTACAGGTCGGTGACGGCGATGAGGTACAGGTCCAGCAGCCCGCCCTGCGCCAGCAACAGCACCACGGACAGCGCCTGGTAGCCCCAACGGCATCCCGGACAGGGAGTGCAGCAGCTGCGCGGACCCCTGCGGCCGGGTCGGGCCCGGCGGCCGCCACAGCAACAGCAGCAGCACGAACAGCAGGAGGCGCTGCTACCGGTCCCCGTGCCGCCCGCGCCCCCAGTTGAGCGGCCCCCCGGACCCCCGATGCCCCCGGCCGCAGCGCCCCCGCCGAAGTCCGCGGCTGTCATGCTGCAGGAGGAGGTAGGCGTGGAGGTGGAGGAGGGGGTGCCGGCCGAGGAGGAGAAGGCGGCGGGCGCAGGGTCGGCGTCTGGAGCGCCCCCCTGAGCCAGGGGACCCAGGATCCCAGCGGCAGCCGCAGGCACCAGCGGCTTACTGATACTGATGCTCTCGTCGTCGTCCTCCCGCTCGGCGCTGGTGTTGCTGCTGGGGGAGCCGCCGCCCCCGCCTCGTCGGCCGCCGCTTCCCCCGCGGCTGGTGCTGGTGCTGCTATCGCCCGAGCCTCGCCGGCCGCTGGGGGATCCCCCCCGGAGGAAGAGGGGCTGCGGCCGGGCGGCGGCGGGGGGTGGCGGGAATGAGCCGGACGAGGACGAGACCGAGCGGGGGTGGCCGAGAGCTGGGTGCATTGTCCTCCGGGGGGCTGCCAGCTGTTCCCTCCCCACCAACTCCGGGCTGGCGAGGCGGCTGAGGGGAGCGGGCCAGCCGCCGCCTCCTCCTCAGCAGCGGCACTCGTACCCCGGTCGGGCAGCAGCGAGATCCAGACTGGAGCCGCGGGACTGGGCAAGCCGAGCCCCGGGTGGCAGAGAGCACGGGGTTGGCGAGGGGCTGAACCCGCCGCGGTGACGGCGGGCGCAGCGGGGCGGGGGCTAGCCCAGTCGGTGAGGAAAGGGAGGCTGGCTGCGGGGAAACCAGGACTGGATTCAAGGGGGAGAGGAGTAGAGATCAGAAAAGGAGAAAGCATGGCTTGCTGGATCAGCAGAAGGAAAAGGGGGAGCAAGAGCCTTAACCTCCCAGGGCACATTTACTCAGGGGGATAAGAGGGGAGGAGGAGGGAGCTGTCAAAATGATGATGGCCAAGGGGGTGGGCTATCAGCGCGGAGAAACTAAAGGGAGCACAGGATTCCTAGAAAAGTTTCCCGAGGTCCCACCAGGAGAATCCCTGGAGCCTTAAGTGGTTAGTGACCGCTTGGCCTTGTTCTCAGTATAGACCATTCCACGGAACACCAAGCTCAGTAGACAGGTTCAGGCCTCTGCTCCTTTTGCAGGTAACGGGGCAGCTTTGGCCTCTACACTGTCTACTGCCATTTTCACTGGGCCATCCTGCCTCTCCTTAAGGCACTTCAAACTAATGGAGGAATCGGGCCATACTGATTAAAAGGACCAGGAACAGCAGTCCCAGACATTTCTACATATTCATGTGCCCTGCACTGGGTTCAGTGAGCCATCCATAGGGAGGTCCCAGTTTCCAGAAAATGGAGCAGTTTTCTGAATATAACTGCTGGGGAAGAAAGGACAGGTAAAATAATTATTTACATGGCCCATCCAAGTGGGGCTTTTGGTATTCTGAGTTTTTTAAAGCAGGAATTGCAAACAATAGGGAGTTGTATCTAGCAAAGAGGAACACAAAGGGACATTTAGCAGTATGAGTGCCTTGATACAAACAAAGGCTCAGAGCAGGTGATGGTGGCTGTCACAACGGCTCCCCCACCCCCAGCTGGACACAAGGCACAGTAGCCCTGCACCTAATATAAGCTTGGGGCTCATACTGACTCACGCCCATGGACTCAGTCCATGACTGGGGCTGGGTATTTGCCAGTGACTCAGGAAGGCAGCAGACAGAATTATGCCTTGAAGGGTTTAGGGGAGAAAAAAAATTACTAGAGCAGCTGGGGCTAAAAAAAATTTTTTTTTAAATAAAAAAGATGAGGCTCATGTATAATGCAAACATCCCAGGCATATGCAAGCAAGGCCAGAAGCTTGCCTACCCTTTCTTCCTTCCCCACGCTTCAGTCTGCAGGCTCCCTGCCTTCACTTCATGACCCTTAAACCTTCTGCAGCTTGGCTCACCTTCCTAGACAACACCACACAGCCTGAGAGAGGGGATCAGGCCTCGCCCCTGAACCTGCCTCTTAAGTAAGGGTCAGTGTGAGCCAAACCTGCTTTCTCCAGTCTCTTGGACATCAGTCTGTACAACTAATCCATGGGTATGTGGGATTTAGAAGTCACAACCTACATTATTTCCACTTGCTCTTGGCACACACACAACCTTTGAAAAGTTCCATGTCCGGTCATCATGCAAGGTACAGCAGGTATGGTGGTAAGAGCTTGAGCTCTGGGGTTGGTGGTTTCAGCTCTGCCACTGAGCTTGTGTGATCTTGGACTGTTTTGGTTTTTTTTCACCTCTGTGAGCCTCCAATTATCCAACTGTAAAAAGGGAACAGTATGTACCTAATAGGCTGTTGTATAAAGAGAGGTCATGAGTTCAAAGGGTTGCGTGCTCTGAGCAGAGTATGTACTCAGTTAAAGGTAGCTGGTTATGAGGATGTTATCATCTCGTCTTAACCTCCCAGGGATCATTTACTCATAGCACAGGCCACTAATGACTTTTCTGGCCTGGATTCCTTCCTGAGGCCACATTCAGAGTTCTGTTCCCCCACAGCTTTGCACTTCGGTAAGTGCCAGAGAGTAAAGCTGCTCTCATTAAGAGCAGTGGTTCTTGGAGCTAATCTTCACAGGCTTCACAGTGTGAGAGGTTCCACTATGCCAGCTGGTGCCAAGGCCCACCATCATGGGGCAACGTGGGGACTAAACAGCAGATACACAGCCTGCACTGTGTGTGAGCATCACAGCAGGTCCAGCAGATGTTAGGGCTGAGCCAGTCCAGGTTAGAAAGCAGCTTGGGGAGCTGCCAACTGCTAATGGGAGCGATTATGGCAGTCTCCCAGCTCTCCCCCAGAGAAACCACCAGCCAACAGCTACCCTGAAAGTTGGCCCAAGCTTCTACTCAAGTTAATGAAGCAGTTGAAGAAAGAGAAGCAGCAGATGAAGGCAAAGAACTGGGCACTGGGAGAACATTGACGAATCTGTCCCCGCTGCCCAGCCCATGCCCCACTTCCCTGGCCCACTCACACAGACTCCCCTCCTGCTCTGACCTGTCAGGTTCCTTGTGAGGACCATTTCCTCTCTGATAACTTGTAATGCCCCTTTGATGTTATTCTTTGTATTTCTGGGAAATGTAGTCAATCAGTCAGATTAACTTCCTGTATGAGGTTATTTAGCCCAATTTCTTTCATGTCTGAGGCCCTGAATAAAAAGACCACAGATAATAAGGATGAGAAATCAGGGTACACAATAGAATAAGTTGGTGGTCAGAGTAGAAGAGGGATTTCCTCTTTGCACTGGGCTTTTTTCTAATCTTCTGTGTACACACACAGAGAGACTTTGCTTCAGCCTGGAAAGGGATTAACAAAGATGTGACAAGAATGAAAAGAAGGAAGACAAAAGGTTTTCTGATATATAAAGTGAGTACAAACACCCCACAAGTATCTAGAAAAGGGAAGACATGGTCACTGAGCACCTCACAAGCACCTCAGGTCCAGGCTCAATATCTTACATACAGTACATAGAAACAGAGTGGTAAAGCAACTTACTCTAAGTCATGCAGCCAGTTGAGGGCAGAGGTAGGGTTAAATCTAGACTTCTGACTCTCAGCCCAGTGCTCTCACCTGCCTACCACTCTCCTCACAAGCCTAGGATGGAAGTAGCTTGCAGGCCTCCTGTGAGATAGGGAACAAACAGGAATAAACCAAACAGCCTTCAACCCAAAAAGTATTTCCATAAGCACTTATTATAATAAGTGCTGGGCACTGCGTACAGCTCATTTGGAGACTTAATATTTTTGGCCCCCCTGGAACAGAAAGGCCAATGGCTCACAGCCTTCCTGGGACAGCAATAGAAGGACTAAGAGGAAGGAAGATATATCCCTAGTCGCCCAGCAGCAAAGGAAAGCTCAGTGAGGCAAAGTTGGCCTTTCCTAGTACTGAACCAAGGCCCCATTCTTCACTCATCCACTCTCGTGGGTATCACTGCCCTCTTTCACCTTCACAGCAAGAATAAAGAACAGTCCAAAGGGAACTGTCAGGGGCTGTGTGAAGCATCACAGGTACAACCTGTAAAAAGACACACGCAGGGTCATCTGGTGTTCAATCGCACAGTCACCACAGACTCTCAGAAAATGATAAGGGAAGTTGGCAGGGAACTGTGCCTGAAGCAGCATGAGTCTGCGATGCTTTGGCTCATTAGGAACTTGAAGCCTCAAAACTACTTTCTTTGAGAGCTCTCTGAAGACAGACACGACATCTGTCCCAATTCAGAACTCCTCTAATACCTGGGGCCAGGCTGTGCCCTGAGCTGCTCCACAGATGTTCATGATGATGCCACCACCCTCCTGGATACAGCAGAAGTCCCAGCATCAGTGCTTCTCTGGGTCAGTCCCTGGGCTAGGGATTGAGATTCCAGAGACTAAAAGAAAAAAACCAAGTCCTTTCCTAGGAATTCAGACCAGGAGGGAGACAAATATGTAAACAATGAGGGATTATGAAGGTTATGACCAAATATTTGACACTGCTTGAACATGAAGTTCAAGGAGAAGATGCAATGAAAGATAAGGATGAGGAAACAGGCAGGGGCTAGGCTACTGAGTGCGTCCATACAGAGCTGAGCTTGGGCTGCATTCTGAGAGAAGAGGGGTCTTGAAAACATAAATGTAACATGAACAGATTTTCATTTTAGATAAATTGCTTTGCAATAAAGATGATGGATTGGAGGGGAGAAATAAATGGAAGGAGAGCCTATATTCTACTTTTGTCAATACCATGAGCTATATAATATAAAACCTCCCAGCTTACAAAAAACACTAGATAAAATTTAACATCCTTTTAAGTGAACAGTTAAAAGAGTAAGATAAATTCTTGGGGCCATAAATGAAGAGGAAACTAAAACCAGAATGGTAAATGAGGTCAATAATGCTGTGAGTGCTTTCAGATATGTAGACTGTCTCAGTAAGGAACACTATGTAATATGGTGTTACATAGCCACAAGCAGCTATCTAAATTTAAATTTACTTAATATTAATTGAAATAAATTAAAATTTAAAATTCAAATCCTCAGTCTCACTAGCCATATTTTGAGTGCTCAATAGTCCCATGTGGCTATTGAAAGAACGTTATGGAGATGAGTGTAGCTGTATATTCACTTTATTGAAGTTGGGGTCAGGATTCTCTGGATCACTGCCTCATCTCTTCCTCAATGTAACTCTGGAAATATCAGCTATAGGACATCAGCACTCCTGATTCTCAGGCCTTTGGGCTCCACTAGAACTACAACACCAGCTTTCCCAGGCCTCCAGCTTGCAGAAGGCAAATTATGGGACTCCTCATTCTCATAATCATATTTTTTAGAGAATTAGGGTCAAGATGGTAGAGTAGGTAAATACTGTGCTTGCTTCCTCCCACGACCACATCAAAATTACAACTAAATTACTGAACAGCCATCATTATACAGACTCGCTGAATAGAATTCCTAGAACTAAAGCTATAAAGAAGAAGCCATGTCAAGACTGGTAGGAGGGGTAGAGGCACAAAATGGACTGGTCCCACATCCATGTGTGGTGGTTAAAGATCGGAAGAAATATCTTGGCTGTGGAGGTCCCCCTTGAAGAGTGAGGAGTCCACACTGGGCTCCCCAGTCCAGGGCACCAGTGCCGGGAAGAGAAGTCTCCATAACATCTAGCTGTGAAAAACAGTGGGGATCACGTCTGAGTTAGACAGAAGGGTGCTGGAGACCAAGGCATCCTCTTGAGGGGCCTGTACACACTAACGTGCTCACAAATTCACTCCTGGGCTCCATCTCAGAGGCGGCAACTCAAAAAGCACCAGGGGCATTCAGGAAGAAGCTTCAGGGTGAGGGTTGGAAGGGCAGGGGTCAGGACAGTGCTCTCTGGGGACGAAAGTACTGGCAGATGCCATTGTTCCTTTGTTGAGCCCTCCCCCTAACCAGCCAGCAGGGGCAGGTGGAAGCCAAACCTGAGGTCTACATTAACTTGGCTAATACTGTTCACCTCACCCTGGCGACTCTTTGAGATCCTGCCCCACCCAAGTTGAGCACACTGACCAAACTTCTTCCAGCGGCTTTTCTACACAAACGGCCTGTCTCAGCTTGTGCTGTAGACTTTCCTAAAATCTCTCAAAGGTCTACAAACCCTAAACAAGCAACAGCTGGTCTTGGTGTGTCCCATATCTCTTGCTAAGTGTCCCCAACCCCAGCACTAGTGGCAGTTGGCCTCAGTTCATAGCCTACTTTCTCCCAGGTGCCTCCAAGCCCAGCACAGGTGGCAACCAACTGCTTTGTAGCTCCTACCAGGTGGCCCTGTACCAGGCACAGTCAGCAGATGACATTGGCCTGCATCAGAGTGAACACACACGGTGGCCAGCTTCAGACCACACCAGAGCACCACCTAACCACCTCCACAAATGACACACCCAAAGTGCAGAATCAAGGCACCAGAGCCCCCACTAAAGCGAATCTACTCTGTAGGGTCAGCCCCTACTCAACAGCTCGTCCATTGTAGTCATGGCTATTCTGCACAGCCAGTCAGCAAGAGGGTAAATACCTCCCACTGACATTGCAACAGGAATCAAGACTCAACTACAACAGGAGGACACACACAACACACACACAGGACACCCCTGGATGACCTGGCTTAGGTGGCCAGGGAGCAAGCGCCACTGGGCCCTACAGGACACCTACTACATGAGGCCACTCTGCCAAGACCAGGAGATGTAGCAGATCCACCTAATACATAGAAACAAACACAGAGAGTCGGTCAAAATAAGGAGACAAAGAAACATGTTCCAAGTGAAAGAACGGGACAAAACTCCAGAAAAAGAATGAAAAACTCCAGAAAAAGAATGAAAAAACCAGAAAAAAGAATGAAATGCAATGGAGACAAACAATCTATCAGATGCAAAGTACAAAACTCTGCTTATAATGATGCTTGATGAAATTAGTGAAAGAGTAGATGAGCTCAGTGAGAAATTTAACAAAGAAACAGGAAACATAAAAATGGAGATAGAAAACATAAAAAAGGAACCAGTCAGAAATAAAGAATACAGGACCAGCTGAGTGGCACGTTGGTTAAGAGCTGGCTTGGGATGCCAGCTCTGAGCAGCAGAGCCCCAGTTCGGATCCCACGTGAGGGCCAGTGACACTGCCCTCTACAGCTAAGATGGTGAACAACAGCTCAACCTGGAGCTGGGCTGCCATGAGTCGCCGGCGACGGCATAGGCTGCAGCCCCTGCTGCAGTGGGCTGCCATAAGCTACCGTGGGTGGCTAGCAGCCAGCATGAGCGGCCAGCAGCCAGTGTGAGCTGCCAAGAGCCGCCATGAGCGGCCGTCCAGAGGCCGGCGACCGATCTGCCTCACCCGGGAAGAGTGCAATGATGGTGCCAACTTGGGCCAGTGAAGCGACATCCTCCACAACTAGACTGAAGAACAAAAGGATAGCAACTTGTCTGTTCCCCTTCCCCCGATTCCCCAGCACTGTTCCCCTCCCTCAATTCCCCAATAAAATATTTAAAAAAAAAAAAGAAATGAAGAATACAATAACTGAAATGAGTACTACATTTTAATCACAGGTTAGATGAAGCAGGGGACTGAATCAGTGATTTGAGAGACAAGGTTGCAGAAAACACCCAATCAAAACAGCAAAAAGAAAAGAGAATTTTTAAAAGTGAGGATAGCCTAAGGGACCTCTGGTACCAACATTTGCATCATAGAGATACCAGAAGGAAAAGAGAAAGGGCAAGGGATTGAAAACCTATTTGAAGAAATAATGACAGAAAACTTCTCTAACCTGGCAAAGGAAATAGACATAGAAGCCCAGGAAGCACAGAGAGTCCCAAACAAGAGAATATAACCCTTGTAAATATTTATACACCCAACATGGGAGCACCTAAATGTATAAGACAAATATTCACTGACATAAAGGGAGACCTTGACAGTAATACAATCATAGTAGGGGACTTTAACACCCCATTGACACCAATGGTCAGATCTACCAGACAGAAAAACAACAAGGAAATAGCGACCTTAAATGACACACTAGACCAGATGGATTTAATTGACATTTTTGGAACATTTTACCCCAAAGCAGCAGAATACACATTCTTTTCAAGTGCACAGGGAACATTTTCCATGATAGGCTACAAAAAGTCTCAATAAGTTTAAGAAGATTGAAATCATACCAACCATCTTCTCTGGTATGAAACTAGAAATCAATTACAAGGGAAAAAAGAACAAAACTGAAAAACACACAAACACATGGAGGCTAAATAGCATACTACTAAATAGCAAGTGGGTCAACAATGAAATCAAGGAAAAAATCAAAAGATACCTTGAGACAAACAAAAATGAAAATACAATGACCCCAATTCCATGGGACACAGTGAAAGCAGTTCTAAAAGGGACATTCATAGCAACACAGCCTACCTCAAGAAACAAGAAAAATCTCAAATAAACAATCTAATCTTACACTTAAAGGAACTATAAAAAGAATAGCAAACAAAGCCCAAAATGAGTATAGAAGGAAGGAAACAATCAAGATCAGAATGGAAATCAACAAAGAATACAAAACGTTCAATGAAACAAAGAGCTGATTTTCTGAAAAGATAAACAAAATTGATAAACCTTTAGCCAGATACTTCAAGAAAAAAAGAGACAGGATCCAAATAAGTAAAATGAGACATTAAAGGGGTGAAGTAACAACTGATACTACAGAAATACAAAGGATTATAAGAAAATACTACAAATAATTATATGTCAACAGATTGGACAACCTGGAAGCAATGGATAAATTCCTAGAAACATACAATCTTCCAAGACTGAGTCAAGAAGAAACAGAAAGTCAGAATGATAACTGCTAATGAAATCAAATCAGTAATCAAAAAACTCCCAAGAAACAAAAGTCCTGGACCAGGTGGCTTCAAAGGTGAATTTTACCAAATAGTCAAAGAAAAACTAACACCTATCCTTCTCAAACTATTCCAAAAAATTCAAGAGGAGGGAAAGCTCCCAAGCTCATTTTATGAGGCCACTACTACCCTGATTCCAAAACCAAAGACATCTTACACACAAAAAAAAACACCCAAAATTATAGGCCAATATCACTAATGAACATAGATGCGAAAATCCTCAACAAAATATTAGCAAACCGAATTCAACAGTACATTAAAAAGATCATACAACATGATCAAGTGGGATTTATTCCTGCGATGCAACCTAAGTGTCCATCAACAGACAATTGGATAAAGAACAAGTGGTACATATATTCAATGGAATGTTACTCAGCCATAAAAAAGAATGAAATCTTGCCATTTGTGACAACATGGATGGACCTAAACAGTATTGTGCCAAGTGAAATAAGTCAGACAGACAAAGACAAATAACATGTGATTTCACTTTTATGTGGAATCTAAAAAACAAACAAACAAAACAAAAACAAACTCATAGATACAGAGAACCAGATGGTTGCCAGATGGGAGGGGTTTTGAGGGGATAGGTGAAAAGGGGGAAAGGATTAAGATGTACAAATTGTAAGTTATAAAAAACAGTCATGGGGGGCCGGCCGAGTGGCGCGATGGTTAAGAACTCTCTTGGGATGCCAGAGGACCCCGGTTCGGATCCCACATATGAGGGCCAGTGACACTGCCCTCCACAGCTAAGATGCTGAATGACAGCTCAACCTGGAGCTGGGCTGCCATAAGTCGCCAGCGACGGCGTAGGCTGCACTCCCTGTAGCAGTGGGTTGCCATGGGCTACCGTATGTAGCCAGCAGCCAGCGTGAGCGGCCAGCAGCTGCAGTGAGCGGCCGTCCAGAAGCCGGCGACTGATCTGCCTCGCCAGAGAAGAGCGCAATGATGGTGCCAACTTGGGCCAGTGAAGCAACATCCTCCACAACTAGATTGAAGAACAAAACGACAGCAACTTGTCTGTTCCCCTTCCCCCAATTCCCCAGCACTGTTCCCATCCTCCCAATTCCC